ATATATATATATAGTGTAGTAGGTCTAGGGAAAACAATATATTGGTATCGGTTATCAGCCAAATAAGTTTTAATATATCAGATATGGCCAAAAATCCAATATCGTGCATCCCTATCTTCAGGTAAATATCACTCCCTTAACTTTATTTATTTTCCTTGTTATGGTTATTTGTTCAGAAGCTTAGCACAGCAGCCCAGTTCATAAGATCTGAGCTATCAGCTGAAAACGCTTTCGACCCTGCAGGTGGAGAGGATTACAAAAAAAAACAAAAGATCAGAACAAAAGACACCACCCTCCTAACTTTTATCTGTAAATGTGCACAAAGTCAGTAAGAAAGAGTGATGGACGGAAGGCGGAACAAAATCACTCTGATCTCTCCATCTAGACACCTCCCACTGCAGCCTCCTCCTCTCCTCCTCCCACCCTTCATCTCCTCTGTCCTGCCACCTTCACACAGGTGCGCTGGAGTTTCCACGACTCCCCCTGCAGCCTTTTTGAGTCATCGCTGACCGGATCAGCGCAGCACGGATCAGACAGAAGGTTCGACGGTTACGCAACACCCTCAGAGGCCTTGAAAGCAGATCCGACCTCAGAGTTCAACATGGAAGTCATTTATTTCTGACGAGCCGCTCGCTGGTTCTCATTCCACCTTTACCAGGAGGTTTAATTTGTTCACTGATAGAAACATAGAGATGTGAGCCTGCTGATTCCCAGCTGCGGAAAACAGTCTTCCATACGCCTTTCAACTTGACAATAAAAACTTAAACGCTTTTCCAGAGAGCGTGTCTGCACAGGAGCTTTTCTGCTTTAAACCGTTATTTACTGTCTGTTCGTGCTTTACTGGAGCAGCAGAGTCGAGCGAAAGGGGGAATCTAAAGGGAATTAAAGTGAACGACCATCATGTCGTCACGTAAGCCGCAGACCGTTCGGGAAATGCCTTCTTTTCTAATCCTCGGCTCTGCGGTGAAAAGTGTGGGATCTGGTGGCTGGCTCCGAAGCGACGTTGGGCGTGTTGGTGAAGGGTGGAGGAACGGGGGTGGGGGGGTGGGGAGCCTGTTCGTGCCTGCGTGACGAGTGCGAGAGACAGATGAGGGGTTAAGATGCTGGAGAGGAGGTCGTCGTGATTAGTGAGGTATACGATTTCATGCCTCCGAGCTCAGAGCTGCGATTCCGACAAAGGTGCAAACGTGGAAACTCTTCAAACCGAAGGGTCCGACTTGGTGCACACTCAGAAGCATTTATGTCTTGGGTTGTGTACCAACACATGCATGCATGTGTCTGCGGAGGCCTATTGTTCCACTTGCGGTGCCCGATCCGTTCCTGAGTGAAATGCTTGTGGGCTGCTGCTCCGTGTGGCTTCCTTTCAGCGAAGCTCCTCGTCGTCTTGAACGTTGAGTGACGTCAATGCCAAACCTCAGCTCTGCCTTTTATGTGTCCCCCGTCACCATCTATTTCCGCCCACCGTGTGAAAAACTGGCTTTTTCCCCCTCATCGTTGTCATTCCACGGCACGAACACTACTGCTCCTGGATCAGGGCCTCCGCCCAAACGGAGGCGCGTGTTGATTTTCACGCACGCTCCACATGTGCAAAAGAACTAAAACAAACAAAAAAAAAACATCTGAAGTGACTGAACGTTCGTGTGAAAGCAGCTGGTTGAGCTGATTTAACAGCTGACACAATTTAATTGGCTGCTATGATAAAACGCATCCAACCTGGCATCTGTAAAAAATAAAATAAAATAAAAAGACAACACAAGACGTTATCGGATGGGTGTGAACTGACTGCAGTTATTGGTGTGAAACCACAGCAGTTTGTCTCTCCACTTTCTGGAGTTTCCCATGATTTTCAAATTCCAATCTGTGACAGTAACTGTGAGAAAAAGAAGCTAAAGGGTGTGGGGGGAAGTGGGGTGGGAGGGTTTGCGCTTCCAGTCCATCGGTTCACAGCTGAGTCAGATCTGTTGAAAAGGTATCACCTGTACTGTTGATCCTGCGGGCCGTAAACTGGCAGCTTCGGTTGTTTTGGCCGAGAGGGACAGGAGTGTACCAAAACTGAGCCGACAGGGAGAAAAACAGACCTGCTGGGAGACGACGAGGCGTTAAAGTGGAATATTTCACTTTAGGGGCCGATATTGATTCAAGTCGGCTGAATCAAAAGCTGCTATTAGTTTAAGATCCACACCCAAAACTCTAAAGCCTTGTCCACACCATAGCAGTTTTCTTTTTCTTTATTGGGAACAGTCTTTTATTTTGTCGTTTCTAAAAATACCCTCATGAACACTGCACCGTCTTCAGTATCATTTTTAAAACGTTGCCTTTTAGTTGTCTACAGAAAATCTCCAGGAAGGTATTTCAAGATTTTATTCAGGCTGAAACTTGTTTTAAAATATACTGATTTGGGGCTCCTAAAACAGCCTTTTTTTTTGTGGACACAAGGCAAAAAACTAAAAAAAAAAAAAACTTTTGCATATTCAACAAAACCATTCTGATGTAAATCACCTCTAAAACTTCAGATATACCTTAATATTGTCAAAGCTCAAAGGACACATGTATTTTTTCCTTTCTTGCTGAGAGTTACAGTACTTTGATATTGATTTACTATGAGCTAACATCTATTGACGAATGTGAAGACAAAAAGCTAAGGTGAAACAAAACAGTTTTATTCTTACGAATATTAACAAAATATATTAAAGGCAGCCTCTAACTTGGCTACAACGTATGGTGACCAAGTTTAAGGGGGTTTCCAAAATGTTTCAAAATGTTTGCAACAGAACTCGACTTCCTCACGAGAGTTGCAGAACCTTGTTCTCATGTTGCAGGAGTTTTGATCACGTTTGAGACATTTGCAAGACAAATATATATA